TTTCACAATAGACATTTATACACCATTCGATAGAGAATTTCAAGGGCTACATTTTACACTATTTATATTTGATATACGAATTATTTGAATTTTCGGCCTAATGTCCGCTTGGATGCCCACTGTGTACCGTTAGCTAGACAAGCCGTATAGCTCTCGGTGTGGGAGATGGGGTTGGCTAGTTTCTCCCACTTTTCGAATGTGTCTGAGAAAATTTCCTGGTTAGCTATCTACCAAATATCTCAGGCAATCTTCAGTTTCTGGCACATTCGGCGAACAGTCTGTGGTTTCACCAGATCTATCAGACAGTGTAGGCCTGACAAATCTGACAGACGTTCTATGACTTTTGTCAGATCTAGCAATTCTGGCAGTCTGTCTGTGGTTTCTGCTGAACCTGCCAAATAACCATTACTTTCATTATGTCTAGTGTCGATCTGTGGTTTCTGCTGCATCCGACAGACACTCTGTGGTTCTATTAGATTTACTAGACAGTGTAGCTTTTGCATATGTGGCAAACAGTCTGTGACTTCTGCTTGGTCTAGTAAGCAGTCTAGCGCCAAGCTGAGGTGTCTTTGTGTGAAGCTAGATCACAGTTTCTCATACTACAGCGATGATAAAAAAAATGTTTCTTTCTCTAGAATGAGTCATTTCGTGTGATGGCACAATATTGATGAAAGAATATCGCTCTTTAGTATGTCCCGTAGATGAGTTAGGTTTGAATCAATAGAGAATTGAATTCTGTATCTAATGGACTCAGTTAGACTCACCAGACATACTTTGGTAATATGGAAATGCTCGATCTTAATAGCATGATAGGTTTATTTCGATTGTGGTACCGCACTGATAATTGATTTTCTCTCCTCGAAAATATGTCCTGTCGATATTGATAAGATTAATACTCTTTGATAGAGAATAGAAGTTTGCATCCAATGGTTTTATTTCGTTTCATCAGACATATTTTTAGGAACTCAAAGTGATCAATACAAACGTCATCATTGGTCAATTATGGTGATCGTACTGTATAAACAATTCTTTCATCCAGAAAAACATTTTTCTCTAAATTTCATTTCGAAGTCATTTAATATCTTATATTGTTTACTTATGAACAATCTTGTTCTGTTCTAATTAAAATTTTATTTTTTTCAATGAATGAAAAGCACCATAGAATTGTGCATCTTTTCATTTCAGTTTAAAACATACATTTGCTGATCATTGAGAAACTAGTAAAAGGACGTAACTGATCCATTTTTCTCGTAAAATCGATCATTCAGTAAGAATGATTCATTCATAGAATAGTTCTTTTCTCAAATTAACGAAGGTCGATGTTTACGTGAATTCAGTCTTCATTTCCTTGTCTACAAGGTAACCATCGTCTACACTCGCTCGGTCCCTTGATTGTGGGATCTTTTATCTGCGAATGACCGTCCATCACTTTTGATTGCACGACAATGCTCACGCCTCCCTTCGGTCGGCGTTCCCTAGGAGACTATCTAAAATATGTTCTAAATTTTTCTTTGATTTGCTATATAAGGTTCGTAATATAATGTAAACCTAAAAGGTTTTCTAAAGACCATGCAAAGATCTCCAGAGGTCTAAAATATATTTCCGAAATATTTTTCCGTATTTTGCGCACACACAGACAGACAATCATTTTTCTTTCTTTTTTATTTTGGTAGCATACCATGGTATATAAAAAAAGGTTCAGACATACGAATGACTTGTAACAGAAAAAAAAGAACAAAAAAACATTTAATTCAAAGTTTCTGCCTAGCATGACCAACAAATAAAAATAGCAAAAATGGAGCGAGAGAAATGGTTTTCACACTACAAATGATGAAAAAGAAGATTTGAGACAGAGAACGACTAAAGATGAAGATGTTCTTTTAAAGCCTTTTTAAAGGTTTTGGAGAGAGTTGATGGAAACGATCTTTTCTAGATCTTTAGCATTCCAGTCCTTTGCAGTCCTCCAAAAGAAGGATGACTGGACAGTTTCGATAGAACCACAAAAAGATCATCAGCAAAAAAGCTCTCTATCACAGACAACGAAACTGGCACGGGAAAGTCGTTTAGAAATAAAATAAAAAGTAAATGGCCGAGGTGGACTCTTCTGACACTCCTGAGAGAGCCGGCGACTGGGAGGAAAAGCTCTCGCCAATTTTGACAAACTGAGTGCGTCCTGTAAGATAAGATGAAAACCAGTTAAGAAGACTCCCGTCGATACCAAGTAGTTTTAAATTATTCAGTAGAAGGTCGGTCGATACACGATCGAACGCTTTTGACAGATCAAAACTTAACCCTATGCAATGCTCTTTTTCAGGACTCGCCTTATTTAAGCTGCTAAAAGTAAAGTGAGTAATTCTTAGTAATGCATCTAACGTTGAAGAAGACGGTCTAAACCAAAACTGGATAGCGCTTAACAACCCATTGTCGAGAAGAAAAGATAACAACTGCTTATGAATAATCTTCTCAAGAATCTTACTTACAACGCATAGAAGTGAAATTGGGCGATAATTTACGATAAACGATGAGTCGCCTTTATTATATACTGGTGTTATACTGGCTACTTTCCACTGAACTGGAAAAATCCCTCTTTAGCGGGTGAAGGTGAATGAAAGCTTAAATATGTGTACTAATTGATTTCTGAGAACTGGTAAGCATAACTGTATAAACTTCAGCGAGAAACCATCAACTCCGACGCTAGCGGTGTTTTTCATAGCCCCTACAGCTTTCACCACCTGGTCAACGAGTATATCAGAGCTTAATGGTCCCACTAAGTTGGGCGCTGTTCCAGAGGAAGGAAAAGTATTTTGAACTGACGAGTAACAGGAATTAAAATGGTTGTTAAACATTTCACAAATCTCTTTTAAACGTGAAGAGGAGACTAAAGTCAAGAGAATATTCACAAAGGGATATCGATCATTTTTCTTTTCGTTATAAGAAGAATTTCTACTGGTAGAAATGAATTGAATCGATTTATATTCTTTCTTTTCTTTTCTGTGTTTAAAGTTCGTCATGCCGTTAGAAATCGATAAAATTTATTTTATTTTGTTCTCGTTATTTTAGATCGTTTATTGAAAGAATGTCTTGCATCAACAAATACGAATCATCAAAAAGTGATGGTACGTGGACAGATCGTATCAAATATGTTTTATCATTATCGGATAAAAATGAAATAGAAAAATATTTAAAAGAATCTTCATCTTATGATGATATACAAATGTTATTATTTTTATCAAAATTAATGAAAAATGATAAAAATATATTAGAAATATTTTGAAATGATTTATTTCCAGTTAAACAACGAGCTATAGCAGCTAAAACTTGGCTTCAGTTACAAAAAGATGAAAAACAAATTCATTAATTTATTATTGAAACACCTAAGAATAAAAATATTTCACGATTGTAAGTTTATTTATTAAAAATAAATAAAATAAATAAATAAATAATTTTGTCTAATTTAAAATATGAAATTTTTCGAAATATTCATCAAACTGATTGTTCAAAAACATCTTTATTTCTTTTTAATCTTCCATATTTTTTAACTAAATCATTTTCTCATGATCAATTTAATCTTGATGGTTATTTATTACTATTTTGTTCTAAAGATCAAATATTAGATCTTTTATCACGATGGTCAATAAAACGTTTTGAACCAATTGATTCTTCATCTTTATTACGTTCAAAATTAATTTGTTATCAACCTCTTATTGTTATTCATTTAATTAAAGAAGATTTAAATGAAAAAAAAGGAAATGAAAAAAAATTATCCAAATATTTTCAAGATAATTAAACTTTATTTCAATTACTTGCTGAAAAAGAAACAAAAGCAATGTCTCGTTTAGCTATTCAATATGTTAAACAATTAGAAAAACATCAAAGATTATTACCTCATTTTATTTAATCAAAACAAGAAATTCTTTTTACAAAAGCATCAGATGAAATGATTGAATTAATTACAATAGAGACTATTCAAAAATCATTTAATCAGAGAGAAAATATATTCAAAACTAAAATAGTTCACATTTATTGTTGATAATTTCACGAACATCAATAACTTTTCAAGCTGTTTTAGTCAGGCTCTAGATCGTTTTCGAAAGTGGAAGGAGCTAAATTTTTTCACAGACACAGTTGAAAAGTCCAATAGCGAGGAGTTATTTTAAGCAGAAGCCGTATAAGATATTTTTCGATGTAAAAATTGCGTGAAACCGTTGTTACAGACCTGAAAGAGCGAAAATTTTCGCAGATTGCTAAGAGTTATATTTTGCTTTACAATTTCGGGAAAAAAGTCTTTGCATATTCAATGCAGAGACGTTTCCCAATGTTAAACGTTAAATTCTGCATCGATTACACTTGTTTATATCCATCGAATATGCTTGAATGATGAAGAACAAAAATATTTATTTTCATATTGGTCATATATTTTGGTGATATTTCATTAAGGAAAGTATTTCTCTTTCCATAAGTATGACCGTTGAATGAGTTTTATATCGATAAGTAGAGATTTAAATTCTGCATCGTATACCTGTTCAGACTCATTGAATATGCTTTGATGATCAGAGAAAAAATGTTCTTTTCTTACAACTAGTTGTACAAGATGGTAGTATTTCATTTAGGAGAATATTTCTCTTTTCAAAAACATAGTTATGAATTTATAAAAGGTTTAATTCTCTACAAAAATGTACTCATTTTAGTCTTCTAATTGATAATAAACTTGATGCCAGATATGCAACAGAGACCAAAAAGAGTGGGAGGAATCCAGAAACATCAAGAAAACTTCCCAGGTCGATGATTCTGTCCTTCGGAAACGCCCGATGAAATTGGAAGCAGTAGTTCGAACAAACTACTGAATTACTTCCAAAAGCAAACTGATAAGGCTTAAATCTTCTACAGAATGTGGCTATTACCCGAGAATGTCTATATAATTTGAGAGAGAAAACGTCAGNTCAAGGAAACTTCCCAGGTCGATGATTCTGTCCTTCGGAAACGCCCGAAAATATGAGGAAAAACCAACGTTTCCGGCAGGAAAACCCCGAAAATCGATGGAATTGGAAGCAGTAGTTCGAACAAACTACTGAATTACTTCCAAAAGCAAACTGATAAGGCTTAAATCTTCTACAGAATGTGGCTATTACCCGAGAATGTCTATATAATTTGAGAGAGAAAACGTCAGCACATTTTCTATGACTAAACTCAATTTTATTTTGTTTTTGAAAAACTTGATTTTCTCCAGCAAAACTTCCAGTCTATACTCATATTACAGTAAATCTGATTTCTTTTATGTAAACCTACTGACGACTTGTCAAGTAATTTATCTACTATTGTAGCGTTTTTTTTTAAGAATCACGATACGTATCTCGAAAAGTATGCGATCTTAATTTTTAACCATAGCTTAATTTATAGTAAGACTTGGATGGATTATTGTATTCAATAGTATATTAAGAATTAAAAGAAATAGCCGACATATCCGCTTTTATAGTCCTTTCATCTTATCAGGCAAAACACATTCTGTTAGCCAATTAAATTTATTTGAGACAAAGGTCAGGATTACATAAAAAACATAGGGAATAAAACCTTTGAATATTCAAAAAAATCAATATACCAAAAAAATCTGAATAAAAATAATTTTAATACAAATAAAAGGAGCAAAAGTAAAAATAAGATGAAGAAAGAACAATAAGAAGATGAGTCAGTTCAATGACAATACAAAACAAAGCAAAAAAAATTGAAACATTATTTTAAAAAAGCATTGATTTGACATAATACAAGAATGCAAAAAAAGACAACAAAAGTGAATGTGGGATTTACATCTTATACGTATGGATGCACAATAAGTTTGAAATTTTTCATAGGAAAAGGATTGACTACAGTTACCGATATTTTACTACATTCAGCATACATTTTACTTAAAATAAAAAGCTGCATTAATATCAAAATAATACATATTTGCCGATGAAGTGCATGTTAAATTGATCCGAATTAAAGGTTCGAAATAATTTAGGTAAAATTGAGTGTTGTAAAATGACTCACATATTTCTTTCTATATAGTGCTACTACAGCATCTCCTTGATCACCAGCGTTTTTCTCAGAACTTCTTCTGTAACAAAATTAGTCAACATTTCAGCACCCTGAGGAGAATTAATATTCAGCATCTCACAACGTCCTGATGTCTCACGCGCAATTTCTTCGAAATTTCCTTTTGCGTATGAAGTGAGGTAAAATGCATGGATCGGAATTTTTTATCTTCCAACTTTTGTAATTCAGTTGCATAGTATGTTGACGTACTAAATTTAATAGTCTTCCAGTATGCTTCACCAAAGCGCGTTCGTTTCTCACTGAGCTGTGTTTGACTATTTGCTGGGGCATCTGTAATTAAAATGACTTGAGAGATTGTCTCTGGCGTTTCACTTTCTTTAACTGCATGCCATAAACCAATCTCAATAGCTTCATGTCCCCATCCACCTTCAGGACCAATAGTATTCATAAATGCTTTGTCTTGCAAAACAGTGGAAGCGCGCTTAAACATAGTACAGACTGTTTACTTAGCAGCAGATAACAAACTTGAGATAGAGCCTGTCGCATCCATAAGTAAAACTGTACGTGAAGAAGCTGTAATGAAATTTGCTCCTTTATTTTGCTCATTAAAAAACGCTTTTATCTTTCCCATGTCTTCTGTAGATAATGCAGTCAGAAAATCTTTAGAAGCTTTATGATCACGCTTGCATTGTTTTATACCAAGTTCTTTCGCACCACATTTACTTTCATAACGTGCATTACGAGCCTTATTTAAAGATTCATAAAGAGTAGTATCTATTATTTTTGGAAGTTCTTCTTTCCAAGCAGAACTAAAAACCCATTCTAAATCGTTGTCAAGTAATATCATTCTATAGGAACCTCAAGCTCCTTGTCGCATTCCTCTTCCCATGATCTGATATTCTTCGGATAATTCTTCCGAAAAAAATGTTTGAAGTACATGAGGACCACCATTCAATAACAGCTGTTGATTACGACATATAAAATCAGTTCCTCATCCAAATGTTCGAGTTAATAATGTAACTTTACCGATTGTCGCTGCTGCTCGTTTAGTGCATAATTCTCTCTCTTGTACAGAAACGTTTTCCATTATAATTTGCACATCTTGTTTTATAGAAGACAATTCAGAGGAATTATAAAATGCCATTAACTTTTCTTCAGATTCAAAAAAAGAGAAGCGCACGACTTGCACTGCATACAGCATCAATTTCACCACGAATTTCCATAAACTATTCACTTTCTTTTACTGCATGCACATCATTGAGAGAATTATAAGTACGATTACTACATCCATTCCTTTGATTTCTTCAATTACGGTAATACAGTTTATAAATAAGTGAAAAATGCAAGCCAATCGAGGACAAATAGAAATTCCTTTTGCAAGTAAAGCAGGATGGATAAAAAAAGACAGTGGTAGAATACACAAACAGATAAAGAAAGAAAAGAAAAATAGTTTAAAAGCCGAAGAAGAGAAAGGAGAGGAAGAAGGAGAGATAGTAGTCCAGTATAGAAAAGAAAATGCTAGGTATGATCTGAGACGACAGATAATAAGAAATATAGATAAATCTTATGTATGATGTTTATCAATCTATCTTATAATATTATTACAAAAATTATGTTAACATTTTGAAATTTTTCGGGAAAATTTGTTATAATTTTAGATTGTGGATCTATAAAATATTTCGTTTCTTAACTACTGAGAATGATATGTTGACATATCCAAACGTTTAGTTAATTGTATTACTTTATTAATATTATAAAATACAAGGAGAAAAGTTCAAACTTTTTTAACTTAAGCAACAATTTGCTTCTGTAAATCATCTTGACTTTGTTTATTCTCCAATCATCAATGCATTTGTTGTACAAAACATGATTCGTAGATTCTTCATCATTTTCTGTTAGAACAACATTATTTTCCGACTGAAGATCAATTTCTGCCGATCTAGAGTCTACAGGCAAAGAAGACAAGAAGTTATTTTACCTGAACAAAATAACAAAAAACTTTACAAATAACGATTGGTGTTAATTTTGCTAATACAGCTTTACTAAGTTGTATTT